ATTCAACAATTGTCTCTAGAAGATTATTGGAAAAATCATCCCCAAACCCATTTTCAGTAATTGTCTCTGGAAGGTTATTGGAAAGATCATCAACATATTCAATCATGGGAGACATATGATGCTCAGTAAGTGAAAAAGAAAAGGGAAATATGGTCTCAAGAAACTGGACATCCCGTGAAACAAATCGCTCCCCACTTTCCAAATCACGCAAATATCACCCTTTCTTGCCGTATGGATAACCAATAAACACACAATTATGACTACGACTTGCAAATTTATCTTTAATTCGAGCATCATTCTTCGCATAACACAGGCACCCAAAAGTACGAAGAAGAGAATAATCAGGTGAGCGCCCAAAAAGAATGTCAAAAGGGGTTTTGCCTTTGAGCAATTTAGTGGGTGTCCGATTAATAAGATAGCCTGCGGTGAGAATGCATTCTCCCCAGAACTCAATTGGCAAATTAGCTTGAAAACGCAACGCTCTTGCCACATTTAGAATATGTCGATGCTTTCTCTCAACTCTACCATTTTGTTGGGGTGTTCCTACGCACGAAGTCTGATGTATAACCCCAACACTATCAAAATAACCTTTCAAACATGTGAATTCAGTCTCATTGTCTGTTCGAACAAATTTAATTTGTTTGCCAAACTGACAGTGAACCAAGACAACAAAATTTTTTAGGATCCCGGGAACTTCACACTTAGTCCGGATTAAATAAACCCACACAGAACGGGAAAAATCATCAACAATTGTCAAGAAATAATAAGTACCGCATAGAGCAGGAACACGATAAACACCCCACAAATCACAATGAACTAACTCAAAAATTGAACTTGCTTTATTAGAGCTTAAAGAAAAAGGTTCACGAGTTTGTTTGACCCGGAAACAAACTTCACAGTGTCTATTATTCAAACTACTACCATCTTCAAAATTAGGAAGAAAATTCATAACTGTAGGTGATGGATGCCTCAACCTTTGATGCCACAACTCTGCTTGCGATAAACTGAAAATATTATTGATTTGCATGGATTCTGCCTTCTTCAAGAAGTAAAGTCCCCCCCGTGGTTCACTCGTTCCAATCAGCGTTTTCGAGGTGCGGTCCTGAATAACACAAAATTTGTCAATGAATTGAGCATGATAGGGCGAATCAGCCAAGAGTTGAGATACAGAAATTAAATTGCAGTTTAATTTAGGCACAAATAAAACTTTCTGCAGCCTCAATTTTTCACCAAACACCACAGTGCCTTGCTTCTTTGCATAAGTTTCTTCTCCATTCGGCAGCCCAACAGGACATGGTTCAATTGTCCTCACATTCGTCATATGATTGAGTGTCCATGTCATATGGTTTGACGCTCCGGTGTCAATAATCCATGGTAAGTTACCTGAAAGACGTTGGTTGGTTTCAGGTTTATGGACACTAAGAGCTGCCAAGAGAGCACTCCATTGTTCCTTTGAAAGTCCTCCAATAGCAGTCTGTTATGTATTTGTCATCGAGACAGCTTGAGAAGGGATTTCACCTACAGCAGCTTGGGCTACATTGACTCTTGGTGTTGCACTTTTTCCTCGTCCAATCTGTTGCTGAGTGCCCCGACTTGCACTTCGACCATTAGATCGGGGTCTAGCACCCCACCAGTCAGGGTATCCAATGAGTTGAAAACATCTGCTTGTATCATGCCCGGTGCGGTGGCAGTGTCCACATGTCACTCCATCCTTTTTGACCCCCCCCCCCTAGCGTAACACGATTTCCTTGTCCTGCTCGCATTACATAGCTTACGGGGTCTGAACGATTGTCATGTGTACTCACTATCGTCCTTGCTTGTTCATCTTGAACAACCATATGATAAGCTCGATTGAGATTAGGTAATGGGTCTTGACTCAGAATATTGGAACGAATGGTATTGTACTGTTCTCCTTCAAGGCCCATCAAGAACTGATGAATTGAACTCGTTCTTCTTCCTTTCGTTTCTCCAATTGGATGCTCAGACTGCATTTACACCCTCCACATGTACACACAGGCACCCGTTCAAGGTTGTTGAGTTCGTCCCAGAGCAATTTGAGACGTCCAAAGTAATTTGCAATTGACTCACCATTCTGCCTACAATTTGCTAAGGCTGAACGCAATTGTTGAATATGAGGCCCGTTAGCGATTGAGAATCGTTGTTTTATGTCGTCTCATAGATCCGCTGCTTTTTCTTTAAGTGTTATAATAGACCGCAGAGTAGGCTCAATAGTATTCAAAATCCATGAGACAATCATGGAGTTTACTGTCCACCAATCTTTCAAATCTGGTGAGTCTTCTGCTAGTTGTTGAATACTTCCATCTGCAAAGCCAAACTTCTTTTTGGCCCTAAGAGCTATGCGAATGGCCTTCACCCATTCATCATAGTTTTCTCCTTTCAATTGAACCTGGGTGATTAGACTACCCGGGTTGTCATTGGAGTTCAAAGCATAAGAAGAAGCTACGTAGGTGATGATAGCAGCCTTCTTCTCACTCTCTGTTTCTTTGTTTGAAGGTTCTGATGCCATAATAAATCAAGAGTTTTGAATGAAGGGAAAAAATCAACCTTGCCTTTCATTGATAGAAATACAACACATATATACAAAGAAGGTTGTCCTCTGTTCCAAGAAAGCTAATGACAGAAAAGGAAAAATACAAAGTCAAAGAAATAAATACTAAAAGATCAGGAAAGAAAAGGAAGCGAATATTTACAACCAAAAATAAAATAACATTGCTATACGTGAAATCTCCGATAAAGCCTACAATACCGCTAACTCAAATTCTAGCCCACCAACTCATTTGGGCCTAGAATTTTGAATAGACCAAATAAGATTGGGGTTCAGAACATTAAGTCCATGCTTTCTCAGATCCGGCCCAATTTTGTAATTCATTTTTATGCTTTCCATAATTCCATCCTTTCTTGGTAAATAGTCTAAAGCATATAAGTTTATTTGTCTTCCCTTATTAAGAATATATCTTCATCAGCTTTGAACTTTACACAATATTTAAAAAGCCACTAAGAGAGAGGAGGAAGAGAATAAGGAAAAAGAAAAAAAAAAGGATATATGACGCAACAAAACAAAAAAAAAAGATGAGGTATGATGCGTCTGGCTGGGTGCCTGTTTTCAACACGCGGAGAAAGACAGAGAACTTTGTTTCCATTTTAGTGGCAATGGACCCCACAAAATTTTGCACTTGGTGGAGAAAGAAATACCAAAAAAAAAATCTCATCTCTCATTTGTGTAAAAACAACACACTTAATTTTTATTATTATTTTTTTAAAACATTGATGGTGATACTCTAAGTAACCATTAAAATTGTATTAGTAATTCAATTCATTTATTAGCTATTTTAAATCGATAATAAAAACAGGTCTACGGCTTCCTTGACCAATAAACCAATACAATTTTATCGGATGTCCCCGTAGGTCTATTATCTATGGTTCATGTTCAGTTGAGTTATCATGATTTACATCCTCCCAAATACTTTGTCGAGTCGAAATGTGAGAGACCCTTAAGGTTGGGGTTTAACCTTTTGAAAGAATGAACCAATACCATTCATGAACCTAATGATGTCCATTATTCAATAACTCATTTATCAGTTGTGTTAAGTCGATGATAAAAGCATAGTGTACATATGTTGACTTCCTTGACCAATGAATCCATACAATTCATGAACCTAATGATGGCTCATCACTACGATAAAGGCCACATTTTCCTTTGACATTTATATGGAGCTCATTGGCTAGCCAATATTTTCTACGCTTTTATCATAATAGTTCTCGTGTGGTGGGGGCAAACAGGGAAAGTGCACAATTTAAACGGTTGGAGGTTGATGGCGGTTGATGATTGTGATTTGTGAAGCCACCTCGTCACTTACAAATTAAGTCCATTATTTTGCCTGCTAGCTGGCGCGGTAGTTGATTCTTGGCGGATCCAAACCGCTTCTTTTCTTCCATATGAGTGGAATCTGGGCTCAAGCATTGGGACTCGAAATGACTAATCCAACTTCTTCTCTTACTCCACAAATGCCAACGCCCAATAGCAAGTCAGCAACCAAACAAAACAAAGTCCCTGTTTAGTAAAATATTAGCGTATACCTCAATTTTGATTTATTTGACCACTATTAGTTGTTTAATTTAGTTAAAAAAATTAATATAAGTATTTGATTATTAACCTTTTCGTAATTTCAAAATACTAAAATTTAAAAAACTATTCAAAACAACTTTTTCAATTAGTTTTTTTGAGAAAATAAATTATACCAAACAGCTATCAGCCAACAACTAATTTACCAAACACATTTCTACAATCAGATAATGTTATCAACTAGTTATATGCTCTAATTAACACAATCAATTAACAGTCATTTACTAAACAAGACCAAAATATATTCGTAATTTTAGGTAAAAAGATTTATAATTTTATTTAAAATATATACAAATTTTTTAAAACAACTATGATTTTTTTTTTTGGGTGATTTTATAAGTGAACCGAAGTAAAGCGTGGATGGACTTTTCTCCTAATTACACCGACTTCCAGTGTAAATTATATAATTTTTCTTTTTTTCTTTTTAAAAGTGTATATATAATATATAATAAAGTTAATTTTATTTTTTGTCATAGATTTGTAGATTATAGTTTATTTTTAGTTTTTTTTTTCAGCCAATAAAATTATTGAAATATTATTAAATACAAGAACATTTCAATCTTTTCATACAAAGTGAGTTAACCTGTTATATTTATATATATATATATATATATATATATATATATAATTTATAATTGAAAATTTAAATGTCAAGGTATTTTACAAAATTTTAATAGTTTTGTTGATGGAGGACACAAAAGTTATGCCACAATAATATTAGGATAGAAAATGATGTTTTGAAAAAAAAACACTACAAATGAATTACCACAGTCCACATATAAATAAAGGGTCATAAATGAAATTAATATATAAAAGGAAAAATAAATTGAAAAAAGAGATCGTCTGTACCAAAAAAAAAAAGTTAGAAAAATGAGGATTAAAAGAAGGCCAATGGTGGTGGTGGAGGCCATGGCGCCAACTTCTGGAATACTTCTGGCAACAAGAGTCAGCTGTGGCGTCTGGGGAATGTAATATTCTCTCAACTCGTCTTTCCTTCGTTTTTCCTCCACAGAAGCCGAATATCCGGTTTATTATACATGATGAAGATTTCCGTCGACCAATCGTGAATAGATCTCTTGGATTTTCTGTAATTGTTTGAACTTTGAAGAAGGCTTGGGCAAAAACCAAAATTATTTAAAAAAAAAAAAAAACCTTTTCTTTCTTGTGCTGATAATCTACGCAAGCCTTCTGGAATCTGTACAAAGGTAAGATTTTGGTTCACGTATGCAGTAGCTTCCAGATCGTTTAATCTAATGCCTAGCTGAGTGTTTGATTGAAATTTTGTAATTAAGTTTCTTTTGTGCCAAGTTTATGTTTTTATGAATTCTTGGCGTCTAACTGTAGCTGGGTAGGCTGTTTCTGCTTGTGTTTTCTGGTTGATTTCATGCTTTTGCTCTGTTTCCATTTCATTCTTATTCTTCTTCTCTTTCTATGATATGAATCCTTTAACTAGTATGTGATAGCCTCAGAAAAGCTCTGTGATTTCTCTAAGATGATTCATACCCATGGTCTTTTCTCTGTGCCGCAGATAAATAGGAATGGCGACTAGCATTGCTTCGGGTAGCGGCCAACTGCATTTCAGTGAGGCTGCATACAAGGGTCACAACTGTAAACAAGTTTATCATTTTTCTAGTGTAACCATCCAGAGCAGCATACAAAAAGAACCATCTTGGTATGTTAGGAGGAACATGAATCTAGATTTGTTATTTACTTTGTGTTTAGTATTTGATTAGTAGTTTATGAACAAGTATCTGATATACTTGCCCACAGTCTACCACCCAAGAACCAACTGAGCTGCCTGTGCAGGTGAAGCTTTGATATACTTGCCCACACTCTATTACCCGGGAGCCAACTGAGCTGCCTATGTGGGTGAAGCTTTGATATACTTGCCCACACTCTACTACCCGGGAGCCAACTGAGCTGCTTATGTGGACAAAGTTTTAATATACTTGCCCATACTCTACTACCCGGGAGCCAATTGAGCTGCCTATGTGGGCGAAGCTTTGATATACTTTGCCCACAATCTACTACCCAGGAGCCAACTGAGCTGCCTGTGCAGGTGAAGCTTTGATATACTTCCCCACAATCTACTACCCGGGAGCCAACTGAGCTGCCTATGTGGGCGAAACTTTGATATACTTGCCCACAATCTACTACCCAGGAGCCAACTGAGCTGCCTATGTGGGCGAAGCTTTGATATACTTGCCCACACTCTACTACCCAGGAGCCAACTGAGCTGCCTATGTGGGCGAAGCTTTGATATACTTTGCCCACAATCTACTACCCAGGAGCCAACTGAGCTGCCTGTGCAGGTGAAGCTTTGATATACTTGCCCAGAATTTATTACCCGGGAGCCAACTGAGCTGCCTGTGTGGGCGAATGAAGCTTTGATATACTGTTCCTTGAGAACGCCAGTTTGTTCCATATATGTATGACATTGTGGTATGTGCTGCTATAATTGTCCTGGCAACACAATTCCATTATTAGATTTTGTTCATATGGGAATACTGCTAACAAAGTTTCTTGCATTTGGATGAATTGATGCACAATAGCTTTCAAATGTAACTTCTGGTGTGTCTAATTTGTGTTTTGTCTTTTTGAATTTGTTCCAGGTCGTCTCGTGGTGTATCCAAATTATTAAGGCTTCAGAGACATAATGGTTCGTATTCTCAAGCTTATGTGAACCGGAAGTCCCACAGAACATCAATTGCATCATGCCTTAGGAATGGTTCTACCAAGTATTTTGACTTTGCTGTTATTGGTAGTGGAGTTGCCGGCCTTCGTTATGCTCTTGAGGTTGCAAAACATGGAAGCGTTGCAGTGATAACGAAAGCTGAGCCCCATGAGAGTAACACTAACTATGCACAGGGTGGTGTAAGTGCTGTACTATGCCCTAAAGATTCAGTGGAGAGCCATATGCAAGATACAATTGTGGCCGGTGCTTACCTCAGTGATGAGGAGACAGTGAGAGTATGTTTTCCGAAAAATTGATTGCGTTTGATGCTTGTACTCTTTTGCTAAAGAAACTATATAATATATACTAGTTTAGAGCTAACTCGTGGGTGGCTTTTTCTCCAGGTTGTATGTACTGAAGGACCTGAAAGAATCAGAGAATTGATAGCCATGGGTGCTTCGTTTGATCACGGGGAGGATGGGAACTTGCACCTGGCAAGGGAAGGAGGGCATTCTCATCGCAGAATTGTGCATGCAGCAGATATGACAGGCCGGGAAATTGAAAGGGCATTGTTGGAGGCAGTCAAAAAGGATCCTAACATATATGTCTTTGAGCACCATTTTGCAATAGATTTGCTTACATCTCAGGTTTGCTTCTCTTGCTGTTCTTCTGTTATTTTTGTACTTGAAGCTAAATTTGGGTTCCCATAATGACTACTTGCATCCAACGAAGCAATTTACTATTGTGCTAGTATGATGGATAATTTAAGTACAAATTAACGGGTTTCCTAACCCCTCACGTGTGCGGTGGGTTCCAAGCAACAGGTGGACCGTAGTCACCTGGCTCTGATACCAAATTGAATCTAAGCTGATAGTTGGATTGTACATTAATGGTTATGCTCAACATAACTTTAAGCATGGAGTGCATTAAAATTTATATCAAAGTGAATTCTGGCTGCAGGATGGTTCTGACACTATTTGTCATGGAGTTGACACCTTGATCACTGAAACCTTAGAGGTAAGATATGATGAGATTTGTTCTTATTACTTGGACATTTTTTAAAATTCATGTATTAATCAAGACATTGAACTGATTGCTTTGTCCTGTGCCTTCCCGTTTGAACTATAGGTAGTAAGATTCATTTCAAAGGTAACTCTGGTTGCATCAGGCGGAGCTGGGCATATATATCCATCAACCACTAATCCTCTGGTAGGGGTTCTCTTGTGTAAATGCCACTTTCTGTGTTCCACCTGGAACTCAAGTGGCCATGTTATGAAGATTTATGTAGAGATTAACAAGAACAAAAAACAATAACAATGGCAGAAAGGTAAAGAAGACAAGATTTACGTGGTTTGGCAATGTGCCTACATCCACAGGAGTGAAAGTATTCTTTTATTCATAGTGTGATGACAGTGGTGATAGTGGTGGCACAACCCTTAGGGATAGGTCTAGCCGCTTCACTCCTATTCCTAGTATGAGGCAAACACATATTCCTAATCCTTATATGAGACAAACTCAACAATTTACAAGTTGTATTAGCATTGTGCATCGTTCTAATTCTGTTGTGGATGTGAAGGTTGCCACTGGAGATGGAATTGCTATGGCTCACCGAGCTCAGGCTGTTATTTCTAACATGGAGTGAGTAACATTTAATTCAAGTTACGAGAGACGGTTGCAAGGTTCAAGAACTAATTTCATTCTATAAAATGTCTGTGCTGCCAGGTTTGTGCAATTTCACCCAACTGCCTTAGCTGATGAAGGCCTCCCCATCAGACCAACCATTGCCCGCGAAAATTCCTTTCTGATTACTGAAGCCGTGAGGGGTGATGGAGGCATTCTTTATAACTTGGACATGGAGAGGTTCATGCCCTTGTATGATGAGAGAGCAGAGCTCGCGCCAAGGGATGTGGTAGCAAGAAGCATAGACGACCAGCTCAAAAAGCGGAACGAGAAGTATGTTCTTCTGGACATAAGTCACCGAGGCAAAGAAAAAATTCTCTCACATTTCCCAAACATAGCTGCTGAGTGTCTCCGGTATGGGGTGGACATAACCCGGGAACCAATCCCAGTGGTGCCCGCGGCTCATTACATGTGTGGGGGGGTTCGGGCCGGGCTACAAGGGGAGACTAATGTGCAAGGCCTTTATGTAGCAGGCGAGGTTGCCTGCACAGGCTTGCACGGTGCAAACCGGCTTGCCAGTAACTCATTACTCGAGGCTCTGGTTTTTGCAAGAAGAGCTGTCCAGCCTTCAATTGACCACATGACAGGCTCCAGAATTGACCATGGCGATTCGGGCTGGTGGCCACGACCTGTAGTCCCGACATCACTAGACGATTTAACACTTCACAAAATCATCCTAAAGACAAAGGAAGTGAGGAAAGAGCTGCAATCTATGATGTGGGAATGCGTTGGAATCGTGAGGTCAACAACGAGGCTAGAAACCGCAGAGAAGAGGATTGGAGAGCTGGAAGTGGAGTGGGAAACCTACTTGTTTCAGCAGGGTTGGGAAGCAACCATGGTGGGACTGGAAGCCTGTGAAATGAGGAACCTCTTCTGCTGTGCCAAACTTGTGGTGAGTAGTGCTCTGTCAAGGCACGAGAGCCGTGGGCTTCACTACACCATTGATTTCCCCCATGTTGAAGAGAGCTTGAGGTTACCAACCATCATTCTTCCTTCTTCACCATTGAACAACACTTGGAGCTCTCGGCAACTGCACAAACAAGCAATGTGTTAGCGTGCGTGCCTGGGCTTATCTATCATTGCTTTTCATGCCCAAGTTTTCAGCATGATTATGAGCTACATTAGGTTCTATCTAATTTAAGTTTCAGACTTCACAAACAAGATTGAAGTTTCTTCTGTAGTGCACTACTATACTCTTGCTTTGTTGCCTTTCATGAGACCATAAGTTGGTCTTCTATTTTTCCATATTGAGTTTAAACTATAGTTAAATTAAAATGATACTTTAGTTGTGATGTATGAAATTATAGTGAAAGAATTAAATTGAATACGTCATAAAAGCATTATTAGTTGGACGTAACGTGTGATGTTTCTTTTCATTAAAAGAAATGGCAGCATTTGGACCATGATCCACGGTAAAATTTAATTTGTCCGAGCGTAATTTGCAAAGGTCTAACACGGCACAACCTATTTCTACTCGTAATGTATTGGTAGCACTGTGAATTACTAATAACTTTGTAGGCTTTTGTTGACATATTTTATTGGTCAAAGACTAAGATGATTTCGTAAGTTTAGATTGTGACCGCTTCGCTTTCAAAAAAAAAAAAAAAAAAAAAAAAAAGATTGTGACCGCTTCATATATAAAGGATTGGTCGTTATTTAGCTACATGAAAACGTAAGATCAACATAAGAATTTAACATATTATAGCATATGATAACAAAAAAAAAAATAGGGAAAATGGCACTTCTTCCCCCTAAGTTATATACTTATAGCACTTTCTCCCCTGAATTATTTAAGTAGCTGTTTTTCCTCCTGAAATGTTAAATGGACATATTTACCCTTAAAATAAATATTTCATTTATTTTCCTTCTCCAACAAATTATGACAATAATTTGGTTCAAACCAAACAAACACTATAGCAACCAAACCGAAATATTCCAATTACAATTTAGAATCGAAACTCGATATTTAGAGTTTATTAAAATCGCGAACCGGAACGGATGATTCATGTACCGAACTAAAAAAATAAAATATATTTATTGCTGAATTTAGACTATTTAAAATAAAAAATAAAATTTTAAAATAAAGACGGTTCAAAATTGCGAACCGGATCCAGAACCGCCGATTCACGGTTCAAGATCTAATTTTTTCTATTCATAATTTTAATAAATTGAAATCCAAATATTAGGTTCTAGATTTGAATCATAACCGGAAACTTTTAATTCAATTGCTATAGTGTCCGGTTCAGTTTGATCTGAACCGTGGTCATCCCTACGTATACGTGATAATTTGTTGGAGAAGTAAAATAAATAAAATGTTTACTTTAAGAGTAGAAATGTCAATTTAATATATCAGGGGGAAAAATCACGACTTTTAGAATAATTGAGGGGGCTAATGTGCTTACCTAAATAATTGAGGGGGAAAAATGACTATAAGTATATAACTCAGGGGGAAAAAGCGTCATTTTTCTAAAAAAATAAATAAATAAAATACTCTTCTATTTATCGCAAATAAGCATCTTAATTTCATCACAAGGGGCCATGATACCATCATGTATCAAACATTCTAACTCCCAATCTTAATTAATTATATGTACATAAGACATGTTCCTTGTATGTATATTCTTATCTATTTTGAATCAAACACAAGGTAAGTTTTTTGTCGTGGTGCTCAACTTGCCAAAGCTAAATTAAAATGAGTCAAACAATGGCTGCTTTTTTATTTTTTCATTGGTACTTTTATGCTTTTTTGAAAAATGGAGGCAAAAAAGGCAGAACATATATACGGAGTAGTCACTAACTTTCATGGGGCAGAGATTCATCGTCACCTACATACACAATACGTTTCCTTAGCTCCATTATATTCTTGCATGTCTGACCATATATTGTCGCTTTTATACAGATTCCAATGTGAGAGGGACCATAACGCCTGGATGATGGTTAGAACTCATTACTTTAGACTTGTGATTCCTTTTTGGAGTCTGCTCCTCTCCTCTGATCGAAAAAATTGGAAGAATAATAACCATTTATAGAAACATTTGTGGGAATTAAAACAAGCCATTTATTTCCTTAAAAACAAACAAACAAACCATATATAGAAAACGCAGTAATATACCAATATTGGCAAAATTTTATATGAGACCGTCTCACGGATTCTTGTCCGTAAGACGTATCGGATCATGAAATGTAATATTTATATTAACAAATGTAATACTAAATCTGAATAAAATGTCCATTATTAATATGAAAAATGTAATACTTTTACATTTTGATGTAAAAGTATTATTTTTTTTCATCAAAAATATTATAGTTGGATTACGTTTTCTCTAAGTAACAAACACTAACGGATGAGCACAAAGAATCAAAATCCCCACAATGGAGTTGGATCACAATTATACCACTTGACCATAAAGTCTTTGGCAGGGTAACATAATTAAATTTGAGTTATATAAATATCCAAAAGATGGCTTGTAAATGGTTTAAAATCCATTAATTTTTGCCAAAAACAATAATACTTTCTCATGATTCTTTGAATTTCGCTTAGCATTTTTCTTGTTTTTCGAAACATTATGTTGATCGACCGTCAACTGCATAAATTGTAAAATCAACATAGTATCAAATGTCACCCGCTGTCCAACCTAGCTCGCAATATCATCCTCAATTCCTCATCATGTCTATCCATGCATATATATATATATATATATATATATATATATATATATATATATATATATATATATATATATATTCTTTCTCCATACACCCAGTCGTAAAAACACTTCTACTTTGCTTTACTTTTGACCATTCTTTTGAGGTTTGACTTTGAAGAATCATATGCGAGCTAGATAGCTAGCTTTTGCCGCTTTGTTATCCTCCCTTTCCAATGCGAAGGGAAAGATTAGAGGTAAGCAATGATGCGCCAAATTCGTTCTGATTCAATTTGTATTCACTTACTGCTCGTTTGGTTCACATAATGAATTTAGAAGAAATAAGAATTCTATTCCGCATGGAATGAAATAGGTAAGAGGATGAGATATGGATGCACTTAGTGAAAATTCGTCACTAATGGATTGGATACGAATGTGACTTTTAAAAGAATTGTTATATCTTATTAATGAGACAGATCGGGTCAAGATAAAATGTAATATTTATACTAGCAAATGTAATATATACTAAATTTGCATTACTTATATGAAAAAATGAAATACTTTTGAATTAAAATGTAATGCTTTTACATTTTGATATAAAAATATTACTCTTTTTTTTTTTTCATCAAAAGTATTATATTTTCTCTTATAATTAATATACTCTGTAATGCTTTTGATGAAAAAGGTAATACTATTATATTTGTCCTTAAAAGTATTACATTTTTCCTTATAAGTAACAAACACTTTATTCCTAATTAGTATTACATTTGCTAGTATAAGTATTATACTTACATATCAACTCACCCGACTCGATCCGTCTCACACAAGTATTAAAAATTGAATTTTTTTTGTTTTTTTTTTAATGGAATGCTTGAAAATTGATTATTTTAATTTTTTAATGTTTGAAATCTTGTATTATAATTTATTTTATTTTTTAAACCTAAAATTCGTTATTTGATCCGCATCTAATTTGCTAAATTCACTATTAGCGGATTGGATCGGATCGGATCGAATTGGATTCCCACTCTTTGTAGATACTAATGCGATGAGATTTTTAAAATCCGTCTTTAGCAGATTCTCCCCAAATTCGCTCAGCGTTCACCCCTAGCAAAGATAATGTTTGAGGGGTAGAAAAAAGCACTCCGTGTCAAATTAGACTATTGATTATTTTGCATTAAAAGAAAAGACTATTGATTTTTTTGCCATATAAGTTAGATTATTACTAGTTTAGTTTAGGCTTCATTGATGTATTATTATTTTTAAAGCGTATAAAATCATAAACTACGAATACTAAATATTATTATTGTGTCATATGATGTGTGTTTATGTAAATAACTTGGTTGTAAAGTTGATTAAAATAATTGATATGTCACAAATTATATTTTATATGATATAAGATTTGATCATGGTCGAATCTATGTTATGTGGGGTTTAATGTATGACATCCTTAATTATACTCCCATTCCCATGCATGAGGAAATGTCCTAATATAATGCAGCCAGAATATAATATATATTTGGACCAGAATCAAATGAAATATCCCCCATTGCTTTTCCATCTTCACGAATATAGAATATCTGTCATTCCTGTCAAGCCCCAGTCAACCGGTCAAAAAGATGGTCTTGTTGATGGGGAAGTGGGCTCCACGTATTTGCGAAGTCAACCACTTTTCGTCTCATTCCATCGCCCTTATTCTGCACGGATCGGAGATGTATAGGACTTCATACAATTTTATGGTGCATTTGGTTCCTGAGTTTAATAAGAATCAAAATCATATTTAGTATTTGGTTGACAATTTTTTAAAACACAATTATGAGTTTTGATTACTTTTTTAATTAAAAATTTCATTCTCTAATATAATTCAAAACATGTATCGTTATATCTCATCTTATTAGTAATCTAATTTTTAAGTTTGGATTACTACTGCTTTTAGATATTTTTGTTTTGATTTTTATTGTTGGTTCATATTGATGTTTTGGATGTCACTATATTAGAATTAATTGTCTTAAATTTTTATTTTTGTATTTTTAAAACATTTATTCCCATTACAAGGTCATACCTAACCAAACATCAATATTGGTAATCATTTCAATTCCATCCACTACCAAACATGCAAAATACTTTCACCAAAATTCATTACCATTATTAAGTATTTGATTCTCGTTCTGAATTTGATTCTCTTGTGCGAACCAAACACACCATTATTTTATTCTCTATCCCTTTCTTCTTACATATGTTGATGATCATTAGGCACATGCGTGAGATAAATAGTATTAGAAAAATACTATACAACGAGGTTTATTCAAAAAATATTTATATAAATTAAACTTTATATTTTAATCACTTGGTGTCTTGGTCATTATTTTAGATAAATAAACTTAACATTTCCTCCTATAAGCTAAGTAAACTCCTAGATACTACCTGCGACTTGCTTAGCGTTCTCAATCTCGGACATTATATATGTGTCTACTCCTGTCGAAAAATGCATGTTGGCTCTCTTTTGGCCCAGGAAATTAAAATGATATGATCATAGGGGTTGATGCATGGAAGAAGAGACAACACAGGATGATGTTTTAACCCCCCCCCCCCCCCCCCCCCCAA